ACCAGAAAGGATCAGCGTTCACCGAAACAGACTGGCTGACTGAGACTGTCAGATGTGGCTTATGAGTCATTTAAACAAATAAGCCGATTATCACGAACAACCCTGGTCCGAATGAGAAGACTTCATGCTGAAGAAATTACTACTAAACTGATCAGAGACCGTCATAATACGTTTGTCAGCGATGAACTACATTACCAATGCTAGAAGCACGTGGGTCGAACATTCTGTAAATTTTCTGAGCGGCAGGAGAGTCGATCGGCTGCTCTTGCAGTCAAAAAATTTAAACATTGGGACAAGGCGCGTACCTCATACTTCAGGGCTTCAAACTGAACTATAAGTCTACGTTACTTCTATACAAAAGCTTACAGAGTTTTGTTTATTTTGTACCGCTTCATTAATAGAGGAGTCGGATTTGCATCTTTTGTGGATGCAGAGACAAACGAACATTCTACAGCAAGTCTGGGAGAAACAGACCTAATCATAACAATTCATAAGTATCGCTTATGTCACGTGGTACCAAGAAATCGTGCATTAACAGTTTCGAGTAGCTCACTAGACTAAACGATTACAATATTCATACGCCATTCTTAAGGATGCACAGTTCTGGTCATTGTATCGCTTTCTGAAAAGCGCCAGAAGAGGACGCTTTCCATACAGTCTGCTTGCTACAGACGCTACATATCCGAATTTACTGTTGCAGATAGAGATCATGATGCAGAATCGCATAACTCCGAATAAAACAGCTGCAAACGCCACAATTATAACGGCGATTACCCATTTTGTTCAGGATTCGAACCTGTCGAACCGGAAGATCGTATATTTTTACCAGATAGTCGCGCACGTCGATCCGAGTCATCCTGAAATCGTTAGTCACTTAGCTGATCATGAGATATTCAAAGAAAAATTATTATAAAGCCTCACTGAGGAGAGATTATGAACTTCAGAATATATGGCGGCATATGTTCAAAAGCACCTGGACGAACCAATTTCATCCAAAAATTAGGTAGGAAAACACGACTTTGTGGATTTCCAAGTTGCCACAAGCGATGTCTATAATAAAACCAAAGAAATGCAAATGTATTCTGAAACTCAGAATTTCTTCACTTCATTTGAAAAAAAATTTAGACTTTAAAATAGTTACATTTTTACAAAAATCAGTGAGAATAATAAAATAATTTTGGTTGGATAAATAAGATACTGAGAATCAGGTTTGAAACTTGTTTTAGGTGATTCCATAATCAGACCCATATAGCAGCATTCATTCAAAAAACTCATAAAATAACAATGATGTTTGTTTTCGGCGATATGATTACTCATAATGAACCACCACTAAATTACACCAGCATTTTGGTGAGGAAACGCAAGCTGCTTGTCAAGAAAATTTCCAATAAACCTGAGCAGTCAATTTACGTATAGGAAAAATGTTAAGGCGTTCCATACAGGCGATGTGCAGCGATAGAACCAAGCTGTAGTGAAAATCTAGAGATGCAATGATCTCAATTATAACAACGACTGCAATTATAGAACGGAAAACCGCAATGGCCAAAAACGATACACGAGAGCTAGAACCACTACTCGAAACAAGAGTAACAGTTGGCAAGTGCGTGAAACCAGCGGAAACTTAACATGGACGTAACCCTCAGACAGCATACACCCAGAAAATAAAATGGGAGTGAGGTGAAGGATATGGAGTAAGGCACTAAACCTCATGAAGCTGATACACACCTGAATAGACTCATGAAAGGAAAAGAACTGCGTCAAAAAAATTTATGGTATATATAAAACCGACGCATACGGTGAAACACGCAATACAATAGGCGTTTGAGCGACACAGAAATCTAAAATAATATGGAAGCGACAATTCTGATAGAACATAGATGCCCATCATAAAATTATACAGCTGTTAATCAACGGTGATCTAAATCGACAGAAGAGGATGCATCGAAATGAATATGGATGAATCCACAGCAGGCAAAGATACAGTATGTTCAATAATCCTGATGGCAAGAGCGCCACATGGCGCGGCACTGCGAACAACTACATCCAACACATCGTCATAATAGAAAAGCCAAAATAACTACCTATCACTCTGAAGGAATGAACTGAAGCACGTCAGATTACAAAGTCATCATTGGTGAAGGTGCCGTAAACTAGCGCCCGCCATTTGTTCTGAAGGGATAGACTAAAAACCATGGTCTGATAGCAATCCCGAAGTTTAAACGGTGGAAATTAGAATGAATGCTAAAAGGCATCGATCGAATGAGGGTTAGGAGACAGACGAAAAATGAAAACTGAAATAAAGTATGAATCGTGTGCGTACGTGTGTCCGGTGTGCATGTGTTTTTTTTGACTTAGAAAAAGCCTACAAACGGATCCCACGCAACAATCTGTGGTCATGCTTCAAGCATACGAGATAGATAGCCAGCAGCTAAGGACCATCCAATCACTATATTCTAATAGCAGGTGCTGCGTCAGAGTAAATAACGTTAAGTCGAAACAATTCAACGTTTGCACAGGTCTCCGCCAAGGCTGCGTCCTGTGCCCTATCCTGTGTGTTGTACATGGATAGAACAGTCAAGAGCTGCCAAGGAGATGAGGGTATCGGTGCAGGAGATGTGAAGTCGAGAAAGTTACTGTTTGCGGACGACCTTGTTTTATTAGCATCTTCTGAAACTGATCTCCAGTGCTCCTTAGAAAGGTTCG